AAGGCTTTTAGGCTTCTAATCACATGAGCACACCTCTGCATGCAAAATTAGTCCCTAAAAGGTAGTTAGCATAAATTATTCCATCACTCAAGCACAAAAGACTCTTTTGACAAAATATCTATCATTTTTAATTAACTTCCTTGTATATATATTTCTCTTTCCTACGCTGGTCATCCAATCAAGTGGAACCTAATGTGCTCTTAGAGTAGTCCAGGCAACTGTTCATTTTGCCAGGAAGACCAAAAGAACTGCTATAACCTCTTTTCTCTTCCTTCCTTTTTTTTTTTTTAATACTGTTTTATAAAAAAATTACCTGCTTCAAGTTTTGTTCCATTAAAATAGTGAAAAACATCAATGAGTATACATTACAAGTAAATGCTACCTAACTCTTGTGTTTAGCATTTTCTACTTTGTTTTTTCCTCATTTCCTTTCTTCAGAAACTCTTTTTAAATTTTTTTTTATTTATTTGAAAGGCAGAGTTACAGAGAGAGAGAGAGAGAGAGAGAGAGAGAGAGAAAGAGATCTCTTCCGTCTACTGGCTCACTCCCCAAATGGCTGCAACAGCCAAGACTGGGTCATGCCAAAGCTAGGAGCTTCATCTGGGTCTCCCACATGGGGACAGGGCCCCAAGAACTTGGGTCATCTTCTGCTGATTTCTCAGGCACATTAGCAGGAAGGTGGATGAGAAGAGAAGCAGCTGGAACTTGAACCGGTGCCCGTATGGGATGCCAGCATTGCAGGTAGCGCCTTAACCTGCTGTGCCACAATGCCAGCACCCCCCACACCAGCCCCCAGAAACCCTTTAAAGGTAATATTCTTGCTACTGATCAACAGTGAACCCAGAACAAAGGCTTTGTTCCTTCCTTCCTTCCTTCCTTCCTTCCTTCCTTCCTTCCTTCCTTCCTTCCTTCCTTCCTTCCACCACTCATCCAGCCATTTATTTATCAAATATTAACTGAGCAGCTTTATGAAGTACCTGGAAATACTCAGGACACTTGGAATACATTAGTGAGAAAGCAGACAAAGATTCCTGTCCTCCTGGAGCTTACAGTCTCATAGGGAGGTTAGGTAATCCACAATAAACAGTGTAAGTAAGGGAATTCTACAGTATGTAGGAAGTACATCACTGCTCTGGAGAAAACAAAAAGTAGCACAAGAGAAAGAGTATGAAGAGCTGCTATGTGTGTGTGTGCGGCTGGGGAGGGGAAGGGGGAGACTGCCATTTTAAATAGGGTCAATTGAGAAATTGAGATGGAGAGACACGAAGGAGGCAGCCAAGCCAGTATCTGGCTTAAAGCGAGGCAGCAGCTGGAGCTCCTGGCATGTTCCTGATGTGGTAATAAGGTCAATCAGAGTGGCTGGAGACAGGGAGAGAGGGAGAGCCTTGTAGGAGAGGAGGACAGACGTGCTGGGTGGGTTAAGACATTGCAGGAACTGGAGTAGTGTCATGGCATCATCAATGTTTAAAGGGACGCCTCTAGTACTGGGCTAAGAATGGACAGTGTTGGGGGTGGGGATCATTGTGGAGGAAGGGAGAATTAAATTACTACTCTCAAAGTCACATCAGCAAATATTAAAAAGAAAAAAAAATCTTCTTTGGCTCCCATTGTTTTAAGCCAGACAGAACAGAAAACAAAACAGAGAACAACCTCCTGTGCAGTCACTCCCGTGGACTGTGTCTCTTGCACAGAACCTCAGCTCCGCCCCGACACTGACTGCAGGGGTCCCAGCTCACTGTTCCTTATGAGCTCCCTTGGTAGTTCCCTTGGGGGCAGTGCAGTGTGTCACAGAAGATAAATCACCGCATCAGGGGACAGTGAGACAAACCCAAGTTGGAAAGTTCCAGAAGTGATTTTGAAATGCTGGCTGACGCAAGCAAAGAATGGACTCAGCAAACGGGGTGGGCAGAAGCCCTGTAACTCATTGTCTCTGTTGATGTAATAGATAGGGCACGTATTCATTGATATTTAGAGGGACATGACGCAATATACCACACCTTCCTTTACTGTTGTTGTTTTTGAACTGTCACAATGCAGCTTAGACTTGTGTGAGTCTTTTTTTTTTCTTTTCCAGAGGGATTAATATTAGGGATATAGTCTGGGGGTGGCAGGGAGGTTGGAGGGAGAGAGAGATTCATTGATTCATTCATTGATGCATAAGAGGGGATCAAAAGCTGAAGACGCAAGACCTAAGGGCAGCAGTAGACTCAGCGAAGAACTGTCTTCACAGACTATGTAAACCTAAGGTAGAAGCAAGAAGACTTAGTGCTCCTTAATTATTTCACATGACTGGCTGAGAATGTAGGAGTAGAGCTATTCAAAGAAATCCTAGGAGAGATTACTGCCCTAGAAAGAGAGGTCTCTAGGCCTCTGCTGAAGCAAGTAAAGCCATCTGAAAATGTAAATGGGACTAGAGGGAAATAGCCAATCACAAGAGACCAGAAGCAATGTCAGAAGGTCACTTAGCTACAGGATGGTGAGCAGAGTGCAAGTCTCAGTGCCAAGTGCGATCCTGCGGAGTAACTTCTGGAGCCAGCAGTTAGTCGTACAGGATTCCGAGGCCACACCTGGTGTGGGGTAGAATGGCACAATAGGGGCGGGTGCTACTCCCGTCCCAGGCAGCAGCAGTGGTGCACACAGCCAGGAACATAACATTCCCCTCACGAGTCAATCCTCTCGCCTTCACATCTGTCCTCGCTCAGGCTGCCTTAGCAAGAGGAGATGCCACTCTGTCTTCAAGAGGGTTGAAGAGGACATGATGGAAAATCCTTCCAGAAAGGCAGATTGTTACTTAAAGGAATTCTGCTTGTATTACCCAAGGCCTGGTTGCTTTATCGAATCTTTTTTTTTTTTTTTTTTTTGACAGGTAGCGTTTTAGACAGTGAGAGAGAGACAGAAAGAAAGGTCTTTCTTCCATTGGTTCACTCCCCAAATGGCCGCATGGCTGGCACTGCACCGATGCAAAGCCAGGAGCCAGGTGCTTCCTCCTGGTCTCCCATGTGGTGCAGGGGCCCAAGCACTTGGGCCATCCTCCACTTCCCTGCCGGGCCACAGCAGAGAGCTGGACTGGAAGAGGAACAACCGGGACTAGAAGCCAGTGCCCATATGGGATGCTGGCGCCGCAGACGGAGGATTAACCAAGTGAGCCACAGTGCTGGCCCTGGTTGCTTTATCAAAACACTGTTTTCTCTTCTCTGGCCTTGGTGGAGAATGGGAGAGCACCAGGCCCCAGGAACCTCCCCGTCATCTGTGAGTGAGGTCGAGGTGCTGGACTCTCCCCTTTCTCTGGCTGCCTCCATCTTAATTCAGGGCTTCCCTCCCCTGATGCCCCTCTCCCCACTTCTGGCTCCCTTGCAGACAACATGGGGACTTCAAACTGAGACAGATGGAATCTCGGGCAGATGATGGGTCATGAAGAATCTGGTTTCCTCCTCTAGTCCTGTCACCAGATGTCTCATTTTCCTCAGTAAAATGAGGAGGATGTTAACCTGGGAAAAGAAGCCTGAAATAATTCATGTATTTGCTGTAGAATTAGGCTGGTTGATATCTTTTGTTAGATTCTCCGAGTTGTAACCTCAAAGTTGTTCAGAGTCACTGGCTTTGGGGGAGGGGAGAGGGTGCATCACGGCACAGTGGGTTAAGCCACCACTTGTGACACAGGAGTCACACACCCAAGTGCTGGTTCCAAGTCCTGGCTGCTCCACTTCCAACCTGGCTTCCTGCTAATGCACCTGGGAAGGCAGTACATGATGGCCCCAGTACTTGAGCCCCTGCCACTCATGTGGGAGACAAGGATGGAGTTCCAGGAGTTAATGACTGAGCTCTGGCTACTGTGGCCATCTGGGGGAGTGAATCAGTGGATGGAAGCTTGATGTCTGTCTGTCTGTCATTGTCTTAGATGATTTCTAATATTCTTTCAGTTTGAAACTTTTTATGTTAAGATCCCTTTTCATGTAAGCAATAACCATGCATCACCCTCACAGCTGGAGGATGTGGCAAAACACTCTTCAAAAGGTAACTTCCAGGCCTTCCAGAGAATGGATTCATATTAATTAGATCTGCAGAAGATGCCTAGCATCAACCAAAAATGCAATCCCCGTAAGGAAAGAAGTAGAATTTGGCAGAGTTACCCTGGAAGCCTGTGAGTTACGAAACAGGAGACTTGGTTCTAGAGGACTTCTTGTCTTTTAATGACCATGAATCAAAAGGCAACCCTCATGGGAGACAGATACTCCCTGGGTCTCGTGGGGACAGCAGCAGCAGCAGCAGCAGCCAGCCTTGTTTTGGCTGGCTGTGGCCCTTGGCCTCCCAGCTGCCATTAAAGCCGCAGTGAAAACAGATTAGCCACATGCATCAACTGTCTTGGGTGTTCACACAGAATACAGAGAAAAGGCCTGGAAAGACAACAAAGTGACACAGGCGCTAGGAGAGGGGACATGGATGAGGAGTGCCGTGCAGAAGCACTCTGGCTTCACTGGCTGCGTCTGTCTTCCAGAACCGACATGCAGACATGGCAAACTAGGCTGTTTTTGAAAACAACTGGGATTTACTCTCACAGTTCTAGAGGCAGGTCCTTGTTCCCCCCTTCTTTGTCTCCTGGAAGGCTCTAGAAAGTAATCTTCCCAGGACTGGTGCTGTGGCGTAGCGGGTAAAGCCTCCACTTGCAGTGCCGGCATCCCATATGCGCACTGGCTCGAGTCTCGGCTGCTCCACTTCTGATCCAGCTCCCTGCTGATGGCCTGGGAAAGCAGTAGAAAATGGCCCAAGTCCTTGGGCCCCTGCACCCACATTGGAGACCTGAAGAAGCTCCTGGCTCCTGGCTTTGGATCAGCACAGCACAGGCTGTTGTGGCCAATTGTGGAGTGAACAAGTGGATGGAAGACCTCTTTCTCTCTGCCTCTCCTTCTCTCTCTATGTAACTGTGACTTTCAAATAAATAAATCTTAAAAAAAAAAAGAGGAAAAGAATAGACAAAAAAAAAAAAAAGAATCTTCCCTTGCCTTGTCCAGTTTCTGATGACTTCCAGCCTTTGTCGACTTTCGGTAGCTTAACTTCAATGTCTGCCTTTGTCATCATATGGTCTTTCTCCCTGGGAGTCATGTGTCCCCTCCTCTTCATACCAAGACTCCACCAGTCATCGGATCGAGGACCCACTGGAAGACAGGATGATTTCATCTTGAGATCCCCAAATAAATACATCTTCAAAGATCTTATATCCAAACAGTCACATCCTGAGGTCCCTGGTGAGTGTGAAGTTTGGGGGATACAGCAACCCACCACATTTGCATCATTTCAATTGCTTTTCTATAGCAAAGGTGTATTCATGTATTAGGATATGAAGAAACAAAATGAATCAAATAACAGGGTATGTAGCTATAAGCAGCTATGATGTATATCCATAAAGATACTTCAGACAATTTGTGGAAAAATGGAATGAAAACCTAAGTGTGCTTTGGTATAAAAATGTTTTGAACCCATGCCCAGTTTTTTCTTAATAGGCATGTCCCAGGGACTTTATGAAGACCCCTCATATATGCGGTCATACATGTGATTTTTTTGGTACCAAAATACACTTGTCTTTTAATTCCATTTGTCTACAAAGTACCCTTGTATATTATTATATCTACTGTATATGACATGTATCAATATATGAACAATAATATTAATTATCACTATTATTATTTTTTCTAGCTTACTCAGACAGGATTGGTTGTAGGGAAGAATGATTGCTAATACTTGCAGACTGCTTGCTATCTGCTGAACACTGTTTTAAGTGCTTTTTGTATATTAGACCACTTGATTATCATAGCAACCTTATGAGGGAGGCGATATTATCATGCCTATTTTACAGGTGGGGAAACTGAGGCACAGAACAATTAAGTCCCCTGCTCGAGCTCTGGTGGAGGTAAAGCATTAGAAACTAGACTGTGTAGCTTAGCAGCTGTGCTCATAAATACTGTGCTCTGCTCTCATCACGTGCGGGCAAGTGGAGAAGTCAGCCTGAGGAAAGAAAATCTGACACTGTCTCTTGAACACACGCAGGCATGGCACTCACACGTCCTCCTGCTCCCAAAGAAGACACGATGGTTTCATGTGCAGAGCCGACTGGACTGGACACAGCCAGATAGCTACTTGAATAAAAATTCGTACGGGCCGAGTTAAAGACAGCTGCTCATGCACATCACCGCCTGCCTCTCTGACCACAAGTGACCTTAACCAATCAAACTGCAGCAATGCTCTGGTCAAAGGGTAGCTGCATATCAGGCATTGACTTACGGCAGCTTCTGGCAAATGGCAGCTTGGCTGCGCTTGTGGTTGACGTGGTGTCTTTACAGGAACACGCACCACACAGAGCAGTGACAGCAGCGCTACCCTGGATTCTATTTTTCCATGCAATGCTACCCGTAGGCTTCTGAATCATTAGTAGCCCAGTGACTAATGGTGAGGCTGTCAGGATGTCCCGATGGTGAAAATGGCCCGAGTGTGTTCCTGTAAACGTGCTCCAGGGGCTTTCCCCTCCTGCAGCCCCCTTGTTGCTCTAGGGCTGGACACACGTGTCTAGAGAGTTACTAAATGAATACCTCAGGGGTTTTCACTGGGGGGGCGGGGCTGGAGTGGGTAACTTCTCAGGTAATTTCCCTCCTCTGAGTAGCTTCTTGAGTGGAACCAAACCTTCCAAGGGCACAGCCTGAAAGCGTGGGAGTGGGGTAGCACCAGATAAGGTAAAAACCTTCCGTTACACAAACCTCTTTTGTTGGGGGCAGGGGGGAGGGCGGAGAATGTTGGCCTCCCTGGGGTCAGCTCAACACCTGTACGGCAGCACCTGCCTAGAGCCGGGATGGAGTCATAAGCAGAGAGAGGAGGATCCAGGCGAGAAGGCAGTGCTGAATGCACAGGTTGAATTGTGGCCTCTGAAGGTGAACCCCTGGCACTCAAACGCCAGCACCATCACTCCCCAGGCCCCCACTCAGGAGCCTTTGCTGTTTCATCTACAAAGTGGGTGTAACAATCAATTCTACCTCCATAGGCTGCTGTGAGGATGAACCGGGTTACTTTGCTGCAAGTGCTTTGTAGGATGCCTGGTGCTTAGGACGAGGCAAGAGCAGTCATCATTCCTGGGGTACCACCAGTGAAGTCCTGTGCACCGGCCTTCCTCCCCGGGGGAACTGAGACAACTGGACTCCCGGGAGTTCCTCTGTGCTCGGTTCACCCCATGTTGTCCAACAAGCCATTCAGTATCTGCTGGCATCTCATGAGAAACACAGAAGGAAAGACATGGGTTTTTTCAAAGAGGCTCGCTCTTAAAATACTTCCGTCTGACCTCCCACTCCTCCACCCCAAATGGATTGCTGGTGCGTGGGGTTCATTTTCCTTTCCTGTGGCTCAGCCAGCCCCCGTGAGTGTTCCTTTTCCACCAAAGAGAGCAGGTTCCTGCCCCCACAGGGGCCCCTTTCTTTCCCCTGAACCAGAAGGGAAGATCTCCTTTCTCTTTTCAGCAATGGGCAAAGAACAAGGTTCCATTGACAATGTGAATGGAGCATTTCTTACGCTGCACTCTCTTACTGCGGCAGACGCAGGGGCCTTTTCTCTCTCCCCCGGCTTGCTGAACATTGATTCAGGCTCTCCAGAAGGCGCCTGGGGGCGGACCAGAATTCCTCATTCTGCCATGAGCCCGCCAAGGGAGGGAGGTTGTGTGGCTGTAGGGTCTCCATGCCAGATCATTTTACCTGTGATTTCTGATAGGTGCAACTCCTAGAGTTTCCCCTGCTTTACCCATTAGTACCCTCTCCTTCCACACCACAGTCCCTAACCCTGCTTCATTTTTCCATTTGAGCACCCAGCATCACATGGTCCATAATATGAACATGCCTGTTCTCCCTCTCATGGGAACACAAACTCCAGGAAAAGCCAAGGCTTGTCCTGTTGATTGCTGAATCACAGTGCCTGGCAGCTAGCAGGTGCTCTGCAAATACTCACTGAGTGAATGAATGCATGCAGGGAGGGAAGGCTGACAGCACCTTTGGGTTTTCCTATAAAATCCAGAAAGTGCTTTCTGACACATGAGTAACCCAAGTCAGGTTGCAATTACTTAGGGTGTCCAGAATGGCCAGAGATTGGATCTCTTGATTAGCAGGCACAATTGATGGGGCATCTCTTATGGCCAGGAAAGGTCAGGATGTAGAAGGTTATGACCTGGTCCCCATTCTCTGAGCAGACGGAGTTCAGCTGATGGCAATAAAGCTCTCCAATGGCAGTGGAAAATGAATGCAGGTAGAAGATAAGCAGATCATTAAGGGCAAGGGCAGCTGCATAGGCATGCCTGGGGCCACTGCTGTTCCTGGCATCTCAAGGGAGGACAAAGGGGACCACCTGGCAGTGCCGCTGACACTGATGTTGAGGGACTCAGACAGTGCTGGTGTCTGGTTTCTATAGTCTGGGCTCCCTCTGCACCTTGTACCCAGAAACGACACCATTTCCAGGAAGTAAGCACTAACCGCTTGTTCGCTGTGGGTTTCCCCTACTCTTCCTTTTTGGCCTTGCTACTTCTTGCAAATTAAAAAATAAGTCAGGAAGCAATGTTAAAAATAATCAGACCACAGTTAAAGGAAGGCGCTATCAAAAGAAGAGAAAGGGGAAAATAATCGAGTTGCACATGATTCCGCATTGCCTGATACCTGAGGTCCTGCGTGATTATTCACTCGGGGAAACCGCTGAGGCCTTCAGGGAGTTAATGGGGCCAACATGACTTTGTTTTTGCATTGCCTACATGGGCCATAAAACTTAGCATTGGCTCCTTGGCCCAAAGCCTGGACAAGTCATGCCATGGGGAGGGAAGAAGGTTAATCAAAATGGAAAACCCAGGGCTCCAGTTTTCCTGCAATGCTGTTAGGTAGCACCTCTCTGGAATCAAAACCAGCTTCAGGCATCAGGGGGGGCAGAGGAAAAAGAGGAGCCAATGATCCAGCTGAAACTGGGCACTCGAGGGAGGACTGGGGACCTTTGAGAGGCTCTGTGCTCCGAGGTCTGGGGCCATGGAAATCGACAGGTGGGTGTTCAGGGCCTTGAGGAAGAAGGCAGCTGGCGTCAGAGCGTGTTTGTGGCTACTTCCTTTTTTTTTTTTTTTTTCCTGGATCCCAGAACATGAAAACACGGAAAGAAGTTCAAAGCTGAACCCCTCCCCAAACTTTGGCAATTTTTAAAACATAAACTTAACAAATGAGTGCTTGTAAAGCACACGTACACAAATAAAACATGGCAAATTGTGGTATTCAGTAGGGAAGTCCAAGATTTACTAAAACTCTGAACTCGGGGGCAGGCATTGCTGGGACCAAGTGGTTAAGGCGCTCGCATTCTGTGTGGAATGGAATGTCTGGGTTTCAGGCCCTGCTCTGCTCCAGCTCGTGTGCACCCTGGGCGGCACAAGGGATGACGCACACTCTCAAGTCTCCATCGCCCACGTGGAAGATCTAGATTGAGTTCCAGACTCCTGGCTACCCTCTGGTCCAGCCCTGCTTGTTACAGGCATTTGAGGGTATGAGCTAGTGCATAAAAAAATCTGTCTTTCCATCACTGTGCCTTTCAAAGAAAAACAAACTAAACTTAAAAAAAAAAAAAAGGACTCAGAGCACACTGCAGATGGCGAGGACCACCAGGGCACAAGCGGGTGTGTCAGGCAGCGGCTGTCTGTGGCTCTCAGTGGGTCTCTGACGGCTGCAGCTAGCTCAGAGACAGCGCCTCAAGTCTCGGTTTTGGAGAAGCCCTCTGCAGTGACTCAGCTACTCCGAGGGAGGAAGCCATCCTATGCTATTTGTTATTGGACATCCTGCTTTGCTCTCGGGCTGACACGGAAAGGCCTCCTCTCTGGCACTCGCCGACAGGCGTGGAGGGTGGGGCGGCCTGGGATGATCTGGGCTCTCGCTTGCTCCCTCGATCCACGGGGCCTCTCCAAACAGCAGGGTTTGTTCAGGACGTTTTCTCTGACTCACCCTGGTGATAAGACAGGCAAAGGCCTTCTCAGCAAGGCAGCTGGCATTCAGGGAGGTTTTAGATCCTTACCACTGGCAGTTGGATTTCCAAATTTGCAAGTTCCTTTAGCACAACTATTATAGCTTTGATAGAACTGTAGCCATTCTGAGAACCAAAACAGCAGTGACAACAAACAGAATGCTAAACTCACTGCCTAAGAATGAAGGAAGCTTAATTCTTTGGCTCCCTGTTGCTATGTTCATATATTCATTCAACTAATATTTATTAAGCCGCCTTCTAAATGCTAAGCACTAAAGCAATAACAGTGAGCACATGATGTCCGCTTCCTCTCTGGATGAGGCCTATAGCACACAGGCGGACGAGGGACCCTAACCCTAAATCACAAGGCAATGTGCATGGCCACAGCTGCAAGCGCTACGCAGGAGAGGTTTGTGGTGCCAGGAGCACACATCACTGGGTGAGGCAGGGGAGGGAAGGGACGGCTCACTGAAAAACAGATATTAAACTGAATCTGAGGGAGGAAGAGATAAAAGTGGAAGACTCTTTATGGAAATTTAAAATACCATGTGCCAAGGCCCTGTGGCGGGAGAGAGGAGACTATTTAAAAAAAAAAAAAAAACTGAGAGGAAACAGGGCTGGGGCAGAGTGATGGAGACTCAGGTTAGGGCCTGAGGCGCCTGGGGCACAGCCAGGCGGGAGAGAACCGGCGCGCTGGGCAGGAAGGAGGATGTATCTGGGCCTTCCAGGCCGCTGTCTTCTAACAGCAATGGGACATCTCTGAAAGGCACAAGCAAGGGATGTCCGAATCACATTTGCATTCTGGCTACTGCTGGTATCTTCTAAGCTGATTTCTGCTTTGCCAATCCAGCCATCAGGGTTAGGGTCCAGCCACTGCAGGCACACACGGACGCCTGGCAGCCTCACCTGGGTTTGAATCCTGGCTTCATGCCTCACTTCCAGCATGGCCACAGGCAAGCCAGCTTCTCAGAGCCCTCACTTGCTCATATATAAAATGGGGAATAATAACACCGCCTTCCACATTGCTGTGAGGGTTAAGAAAATCACAGTACATAAACAGTCTTGCTTGATACACAGCTAACTCTCTTTGAGACTTTCAAAAATATAAATCTACTTTGATATTGTATATACTGCTAAAAGAAAAAAAAAGCCAACACCTCAGCAGGTCGAAAGCACCCGGAGAAAACGTCTCAGGCTTCACTTGAACGTCTTCCCACAGGCGTGCAGTTTGGAAATACCTACTCCCCACTCTCTGCAACAACAAAAACACAGTAAAGACACAACCACTCATTCACCTGCTTGTCCAAGGTGCAGCCGTCATGCTTCCCGACTCTTGAACTATTTAGATGATACACTGTGGGGACATGAACAACCCGAGGACAAACAAGTGTGTAGTGAGCGTTGCAAACACAGAAGCAAAATAAGTCACTGGCTGAGCAGAAAGTGCGTTGGTCAGTAATCAATAAGAAACGGCTGCATGTCTTCAAAGAAATGGTAAATGTTTAAGGGAGAGGAAATGGAAATCACACTGCTTGTCATTACACACTGTGACCATGGATCTGATTATCACACTGCACCCTATAAATACGTACAATTATTTTATGTTAATGATTTGTGGCAAAAAAAAAAGGAGACTGCTGGAAAGTATACCTTGTGTTGACATTTCAGGGCTCTCATTTGTTTTTATACTTATTTATTTGAAAGTCAGAGTTCCAGAGTGGGAGGAGAGACACACAGAGAGATCTTCCATCTGCTGGTTCATTCCCCAGATGATTACAATAGGAAGGGCTGTGTCAGGCTGAAGCCAGGAGCCAGGAGCTTCACCTGGGTCTCCCACATGGGCTCAGAGGCCCAAGTACTTGGGCCATGTTCTGTGCTTTCCCAGGCCATTCACAGGGAGCTGGATTGGAAGTGGAGCAGCCGGGACATGAACTGGCACCCATATGGGATGCCAGCATTGGCCCACTACTTTGCTGGCAGAACTTGCATCGACTTAAATCAAGAGTCTTATCAAAGTACTTGCAATCAGTCAACCTTAACATGCTCTTACCAGCTGGTGATGAGACAATGTGAACACAGAGCATGTGAGACATATCAAATGTACTTAAATCCTTGAGTTTTTAATGGTATTTTAAAGATATTGCTCACCACTAAAGGGTGACATGAAATGACATACTGCTTTGTTCATTTGTGAACAAAGGATATGAAACAAACAGGTATTCTCTCTTTCTGACATGAACTGTACCAAATAGCGGATGAAGGCAGGTTTTTCTTTATAGAAATATTTCAGGGGCTGTGTAGTGGCACAGTGCATTAAGCCTCTACTTGGGATGCTGGCATCCCATAGTGGAGTGCTGGTTCAAATCCTGGCTGCTTTGCTTCCGACCTTCCTGCTAATGTGTCTGGGGAAGCAGCAGATGATGACGGCCCAAGTCATTTGGGTTCCTGCCACCCATGTGGGAGACCAGGATGGAGTTCTGGGCTCCTGCTTTCAGGCTGGCCTAACCCTTGCTGTTGAAAGCATTTGGGGAGTGAACCAGTGGATGGAAGATCTCTGTCTCTCTCCCCTCACAACCTCCATACCCTTTGCTCTGCTTTCAAATAAATGAGTCTTTAAAGACAGAGCTACTTCAGCTGACAAATGTTGAAGCCGTGATGGACTGGAGTATCACGATTCTCTAGCCCTTCATGAATGAGTGAATCTAGACTGCAGTCATTACTGCCACGGATGTCGTAGAAAGTTACCCACCCACCCCATTCTGGGCCTGCTGGTGGGAAAACATAAAGCAAACAAAATTTTGCTCCCTTCAAAAAAAAAAAAAAAAACCAAAAACTGACTTTGAATCAAGTGAATTAAATTCAACTACCAATTTTTGAAAAGTAGGGAGGACAGAGAGATATGTTAAGTAAGAGACTGCGAGAAACTCTGCAGGAAGAAAGGCTAGATTTCCAAGATGAATGTGCTGCAAGGGAGGAAAAAAGAGACGGAGGGGAAACCTGCAGAATAAAGGAGACTTTATGAGCTCTCTTAGCCAACTGCAAGGTGGGGATCCAAGCAAACTGAAGAAATCTTGAACGTTGATGGGGTATTTGATGACTCTTAACATTTTTTGAAAGATTTATCTATTTATTTATTTATATCTGAAAGGCAGTTTTACAGAGAGGCGGAGTAAGAGATAGATCTTCCATCTGCTGGTTTACTCCCCACATGGCTTCAATGGCTAGAGCTGTGCCGTTCGGAAGCCAGGAACCAGGAGCTTCTTCCAGGTCTCCCACGCAAATGCAGGGACCCAAGGACTTGGTACATCTTCCACTGCTTTCCCAGGCCACAGCAGAGAGCTTGATCGGAAGTGGAGCAGCTGGGACTTGAACCGGTGCCCATATGGGATGCCAGCACTGCAGGTGGCGGCTGTACACACTATGCCACAGCGCTGGCCTCGACTATTAACTTTTTAAAAGTGTGCTAATGGTATTGTCAAAGTTCTTATTTCTCAGTGATTCAAATTGAAATCATCGTAACTACAGATGAATGGTAAGCTACATAATAGGCGGGAGAATGGGGTACTGATAATGCAAGATGGGGCTGGAACTGTGCCGCAGCAGGTTAAAGCCCTGGCCTGCAATGCCAGCATCCCATACGGGTGCCAGTTCGAGTCTTGGCTGCTCCACTTCTAATCCAGCTCTCTGATAATGTACCTGGGAAAGCAGCAGAGGATGGCCCAAACCCTTGAGCCCCTGCATCCATGTGGGAGATCTGGAAGAAGCTCTTGGCTCCTAGCTTTAGCCTGGCCCAGCCTGGCTGTTGTAGCCATTTGGGGAGTGAACCACTAGATGGAAGAGCTCTCTCTCTTTCTTTGTAACTCTGCCTTTCAAATAAATAACTAAATATCTTTAAAAAAAATGACTAGACATGAGCCAAAAATGGTTGAAAGTGGACCAGGGGTTTTAGGTAGTTTGATATTTCCCTCAATAAAGAAGTGTTTAAAAAAGGCATTGGCCAGTGTGGGCACTTAGCACAGTGGTTAAGATACCACTTGGGATGCCACATTCCATACCTATGTGTCTGGTTCGAATCCTGACTCCCCCACTTCCCATCCAGCTTCCTGTTGATGGCACCATGGCAAGCAGCAGGTGACGGCTCAAGCACTCGGGTCCTTGGTACACCCATGTGGGAGACCTGGATTGAGTTCCAGGTTCGTGGCTTTGGCTTGGCCCAGCCCTGACTGTTTTGAACTTTTGAGCAATGAACTAGCAGATGGAAAATCTCCCTCTCTCTGTGTGTCTCTCTCTGCCTTTCAAATAAAATGAAAATAAATAAAAAATGTAGAGAAGTCTATTGGCCAACCTATTTCCCTTGTTATTTCAATTTTAAAAACTAATCATTATTAACAGTGCTAATGTCCACATTCATCCAGTCACTTTCACAGGAGATCTGGGGGCTGGCGCTGGCAATTAGGAAATCTGGATTTGATTCATTTGATTCATTAGCAGAATCATTTTGGAATTTCAGCTCTCAGGGTCTCCCTGAATCCATTTGGGAACTGGGGAATCAAGGATGGTTTCTAACATCCTGCTGGCAGCAGATTCTTGGAATGACAAAGAGATCTGAGGCCTGCAGACTGCCTGCCTGGATTGGAATCCCCGCTTTCCTCTCTGGAGCCTTGGGTAAATTTACCTAATCCCCGAGCACTCAGTCCTTTGGGTTGATAAAATGGACATAACAACAACGCCTACCTCCCAGGGCTGTTGTGAAGGTTAGTCACTTCACGCATTTATTCCACACATATGGAGCACCCAAGTCTCCAGATCTGGGAGGGGCACGGGGTGAAGTAGCACAGAGAATACAGGCGCTTGGCTGTTTGCAACCTAGAGGGAGCGCCCAGGAAAACAAGTAGTAAACGCAAATTGAGATGCAGTATTCCGATAAACAAGAGCTGGGAAGAAGATCTAAGTCAGCCGTGTGACCCGAGCTGCAGAATGACTAGGGGCAGGAGCGCTCTACCTTAAGCAGGACTGAGTGGAGGTTCCCCATCAGGGTGGATCTGGGCTTCCCTGCGCAGCTCCTTTCTCAAGCGCGGTTGACTTCTACCTCCTCGCTCCTCCCTCCACTTCTGGCAACGTCTGGGGAATTTTGGTTGCCACCATGGAGAAGATGCTGTTGGCATCTGGTGGGCAGAGGCCAGAAACACTGCCCATAATCCACTCCAAAATGTTAACAGCTGCAAGCTTGAGTTACCCTGTTATAGGCAGAACCAGGTTTGGGGGGGGGGGAAGAGTCAGAAAGGGGCTTGCTGTGTTGGGCAGAGCAAAGGAAGATGGAGAGAAGGAAGGAGAACCGGCTGCACTATGGGTGATCCTGAAGGCACCGTGAGGAATTCGGAATTATTCCAAAGACAGTGGGAGCCCTTGCAGAATTTTGTGCAGGGGGGTGAGGGTGGAGAGGTTTAGCAGGTGCGTCAACAAGTTCCTCTCCAGTGAAATGTTAATTTTGGTGCAAGAAACTGAAACTACGCATACGCGCACGAGTGTTCAACGACGTCCACGACCACCACCGCCAGGGTCTTCCCTACACTTTGCAATAGCCCCGACCACCCAGGCCTCGGCGCGGCCGCAGTGACTCCTCCCGGCCAGCAGAGGGCGCAGGTCGACACTTGGCCACCCGCCGCCCGGGGCGGGCCTCCTCTTGCCTGCCCCCGCCCCCCCCAGCTCGCCTTCCCGTCTCAGGAGAAGTCGGGAAGGTGGCGGTGGCGGCTGCGGTCCCGGGCCGGCCGGTTGGTGTGGCGCGCGCCGCCAGCGTCCGCGCCGCGTCGAGCCCAGCCCAGCCAGAGCCGCGGCGGCCGGGCTTCGGACGGGCGGCGCGCGCTGACGGAGGGCGGCGGCCGCGGCCAGGGCGGCCCGTGGGACCGCGGGCCCCCGGCGCAGCGCCGCCCGGTTCCCGGCCCTGCCGGCCTCCTCCCTCGGCGCCGCGGCCATGGCGGCCAGCGCGAAGCGGAAGCAGGAGGAGAAGCACCTGAAGATGCTGCGGGACATGACCGGCCTCCCGCACAACCGAAAGTGCTTCGACTGCGACCAGCGCGGCCCCACCTACGTGAACATGACGGTCGGCTCCTTCGTCTGCACCTCCTGCTCCGGCAGCCTGTGAGTGCGGGGCGGCGGGGCGGCGGGGCGGGGGAGGGGGCGCCGGGCGCGCCGCCGGCCGTTGGGGGCGGCCGGCGGGGCCGGGGGCGGCCGTTGGGCGCGGGCGCGTGGGGGCGGAGCGGGGCTGGCCGGCGGGATGCGCTTTCGGTTTGAGCGGGCCCGGGGTCCACGCTGAGCGCGGCCTGGGTGGAGCCGGCATCTGCGGTCCTCGCCGAGCCGGCGGCCGCCGGCGCCTGGCCCTCCGCTCTCCGGGACGCCGGCCGGGCCGTGGGGAGCGGCCGGAGGGGTGCCGAGGGCCGTGCGGGGCCTATTGTGCGCCGGGTCTCTGAGCGGCCTGGGCGCGGCGGCCCTCGCGAGGCAGGCACCTGCTGGGCGCGGCGGCGGAGAGCAGGGTCGCGTGTGCTGGGCTTTCCTTTACTTATTCGAACCCTCCTCCCTCCGAGAGTATCTTGGTAGCCGGGAGAAAGCGGGCATTTAGGGGCTTAAAAGGTCGTGATGGCAGAGATGGGAGTCCCCACGGGAGAGTTTGGGGGGATGAATTCCCGGGTTCGGGGGAGGGGGCGAAGGCACCGAGGAGGTGGGTTGTGGGATTTGGGCCTCACAGTCGCTAGGGAGCCCTGAGTTGGGGGAAAGTTTTGCTGGGAGTCGGTCCCCAGGAGCGGCCTTGCCGCGTGGATGCGGTGCGGCGTCCGGCCGTGCGTGTCGGCGGTGCGCAGCCAGCGGGGACCGGGAAAGACCGCAGAGCGGAGCGGCTCGGGTTACTCGGATGGTTTGTGTTTGTCCTTTGTTTCGTTCAGCTTTGTTGAGGGAAAGGTCGTACTTGCTGTGCGGTTTCATCTGGCAGATGAGTTTGCAGATGATGTTGGAACCGGGAAGGTGCTTTTCCAGGCCAGCTGTCTTGGATTTTAAGTAAATGCAGCTAGTCAGTATTCTCAACCGGTGATTGTGAGATTCACACTCAGATAACATACGCAGCGTGTGGGAAACTGGCTTCTTGCAGGTTGGAAAATGCAGGACTTGTCCGGGAGTGTGCTATGAGTATTTGCCTTTTTTAATTTTAAGTTGGACAGAGAGGCATTGCTAGTTTTCCCCGGGTTATCGCTTCTTCAGGAAGCAGGTATTAGGTACCTATTGGGTTTCGTAGGATGTGTATCGTGCTGAGCTTTAAAAGACTGGGTTAGGAGAGTCCCTAAGGTTCGTTTTAGGTTGTGTAGTAAGAGAAACTGAAGTTGCCAGTTGGTAGTATTACTGAGTCGCAATAGAGTCATAAACTAGGTGGAACCTGGGAGATAGTCTGGTTCGTGCTTTTCACAAATAAAGCAGAAAATTAAGTGAAATCAAGCCAATAGTACAATTTTTAAGTGTATTTTACTTTTAAGAAGTGCTTAAGGTGTTCTGCTTTTGCTAAACATATCGTATTTTAATGCACTTAAAGTATTTATGTATGTATAAATACACACACACATACATGTATTCACTGTTCCGAATAGTTGGCATTTCTTTGTAGGCTTTCAGCACACTGTTCCCTTGCAGCAAATGTGCAATGTTAAGAAATTATTTTCAGATTTTCTGCTGGATTCAGACACATGCTGTATAAAAGAATAGCTCACTGTAGTGACAACTGTTCTGAATGGATTTAATGTGACAGACAGGACTTGGTGTATCTATTCAGTTGTTACTCCACAGGCATTTCTTGCTTGCTTGGCCTGTCTTATACTGTGGGGAGAGCTGCAGTTACCTGGTCCTGCTGCTGTTCGGAGGCTTGCTTTCTAAGTACATGAGTATATAGCTGTAATATTGTTACATTTTCTTTCTGTGACCCATTATCCACAAAATATGTAAATGGATACGGAAAGCTTTACAGAGGAGTTAATGCTTGAGCAAAGACCTTCAAAGACCAAGTGTTGACAGCAGGTTAAGCTGCTTTCTGGGTCTGCCCAGCACCCCGGATCTGAGTGCTGTTTGGAGTCCTTGTTGGTCCACTTCCCATCCAGCTTCCTGCTAACAGCTTGGGAAAGCCGTGGAAGATGGCCCAAGTCCTTGGGTCCCTGCACTCTGTGGGAGACATGGATGTAGTTCCTGGCTCTTTGCTTCTGCCTGGCTTAGAACTGACTGTTGTGGCCATTCATTTGTGGAGTGAATTAATGGATGGGAAGATATCCTCTCTCCTCCCCCATGTCTCTACACCTTTCAAATAAAGAAATCTTTAAAAAATAATAATAAAGACCAAATCCGTAGATAAACCTGGTTTTGAATCCTGGCTCTAAGTGTTGTAGTTAGAGAATGCCAGTCAGTCTTTGTAGCTTGATACATGAAATGGTGAGGGTAAAGTTCCCCTTGTAAATTTTGGATGTAGATTTGTTCTCAGTATTAAGAGAATATAAAACACCACATAGTGCTTGGCACATAATAGGTGCCTGATGAAATATGTTATTAACAGAGAGGGAGAGGATGTTCTATGTTTAAGGAAACAGTATTTGAAAGACATGGAAATGACTAACACCCTAGTGAAGAATCTTATCAGTTTGGATTTTTTAAATGTAACTCAAAACCATACTCAAATTGGTTTAAAAATACAAAGGGAATTTACTGATTTGTCTAAGGGAAGACTTTATCCAATGGCTTAATGATGTTGCCTGTGTTTCTGTCATTCAAAGATAATTGCCCCCAGAGCATACTGTCTTTGTATCTGTTGTCTAATATTTTATTTATTTTTATTTATTTGAAAGAGAGCAGGAGGGACAGAGCTTCCATCCACTGGTTTTCTCCCTAGTTCACTGCAATGGCAAAAGCTGAACCAGGCAGAAGCCGAGAACCAGGAGCTTTATCTGGGTCTCCCACTTGGGGAGCAGGGGACCAAACACTTGTGCCATTTCTGCTGCTTTCCCCAAGCCAGTAGCAGGGAGCTGGATCAGAAGTAGAGCAGCTGGGACCTCAGCTGGTGCCCACATGGCATGCATCTCGGGTAGTGGCTTTACTCACTAAGCCACAACACCACTTCCAGTCCAACATTTTTAGAAGTTCTGCCATTGACTCTGATTAGTTTAGATCTTGTGGCCACCTTAGACCAATGTTCTGATTGGACAGATGTTCTATGTGACGACTTTGGATCCTTAAAGAAAGTTCCTAAATCAGAAATCTGGGACTCCTGGGAAAAAAGTGATGTAAGCATGGCGACCATCAAACGTCTACTGCAGAATATTGAAGGAACAGTAGCTCTTGAGGTTTCTTTTTTTCCTAATCTTTGGAAAAAATCTTTGATTTTTTTTTAATCTTTCCTAAGGTAGGAAAAAAGGGAGAATAATGTAACAAATCAGTTTAATTATCTATTTGCTATGTAGATGGTAAAATTGAAAAAAGGTATTTTGAAGACAAATTTTGATACTGCCACTAGGTTGGTTGATCAGAGCAAGGTATTAAGCTAGGCCATGTCAATTTAAAAAAAAAAAAGGTGGGGCCGGCGCCGTGGCTCACTTGGTTAATCCTCCACCTGCAGCGCCGGCATACCATATGGGCGCCGGGTTCTAGTCCTGGTTGCTCCTCTTCCAGTCCAGCTCTCTGCTGTGGCTGGGAGGGCAGTGGAGGATGGCCCAAGTGCTTGGGCCCCTGCACCTGCATGGGAGACCAGGAAGAGGCTCCTGGCTTCAGATTGGCACAGCGCTGGCCGTGGCTGCTGTTTTAGGGGTGAACCAATGGAAGGAAGACCTTTCTCTCTGTCTCTCTCTCTCACTGTCTAGCTCTATCTGTCAAATAAATAAAAAATAAAATATATGTTGGACTGGATCTGTTTTTAGCTTCATTTTTTGTTTGCTATTGCTTGCTTGATTTACCTAGAAAATACTGATACTTGTTAAATAATACGTATTCTCATGGATTCTAAATTTTACGATAGTCACATAATTATTCATTTGGCAATATTTTTGTTAAAAGTATTTTTATTATTATTAAAATTACTAGATTCAGAGCTAATCTTTCCTTTGTTTTTCTCCCCAGTTGACTGTTCTGTAGGCTTGAATGATGTTCATTCAGAATATACAACTGACGTCAGATTGTGAAACTTTAAAATAGATTTTAGATTTAGGTACAGTTAAGCTAATTATTAGTGAGGCAGAAAGAGGCATCCTAACTTGCTGGGTTGTCACTATTTTGTGTTTTTAGAAGTACTTAAAATTATGAACACATACTCTAAACAGTTAGAGCTCAACAACAAAATAGTATCTTCATGTTAAAGAACTTCAGTTGATTTTGAGATGTGTTTTACACCAAATTATTTGTTTTGTGGAGACTGTTAGCATTAGTGTAGTACTAAAATAATGAACAGTTGCTTCAGTTTTAAAAATGATTGATAAATTTTTCAGTGAG